GCCCATTTGATGGGTTTCAGGGGGTGCACTGTCCATAACAGTGTATTCGGCCAGGCCTTGTAACAAAGGCTGGGCCGAACCCATGTGACTGATGTGTAGATCAATGTTTGGGTCCCACGCCATATAAGGAAGCCCAACTAGGCAGCAGTTAGGAAGGTTAARTRAGCACATRAKCTTAATGGGCCTAAAGCCCATTTCGAACTGGACTTATTTAATAAGTTAAATATGGGCGAATTCTGAGATGGATCAGCAGATAGGATAGGGTCTTAACATTATCCACTCAGAGAGTCTAGATCTGAATCATATTCAGATCTAGAAACCTCCTAATGAGATTAGGAGAAGGCTGATCTAATCTGCAGATAAGATAARGGTTTATCCTTATCACCWRAAGAGAGGTCTGATCCAAATATGATTTGGATCAGCAGCTCCTAATTGGATTAGGAGCTGATCTTTTAGGGTTACAAAAGAAAGGAGGGGGCGGTAGTCTTTAGATGAGACACATAATCAGATCCTCTTCAGAGCTGAAATCACAGAAGAAAGATTTCTACAATCCCTGCAAAGATCTTTCTTGCCGCCTCCTTCCTGCAACCGTCAGACATCCAGTTCGATCTCCAATTGTGGGAGAAGTCAAGATTCAATCTTGACATCAGTTCTTTGAGAAAGAATTGATAGGAAGCTGTGCTCACGTGCCATCCTGCTGTTTCTTGCGAAGGACAGAATTCTTGGAGAATAATACTGTTGATTCTGCTCCATCCTGCACTGCACCATCTTCAGTGGGAGCAGTCTTTGGATTCTTCCTTGGGCGTGAACACCTTCGTTGGGAGATACTTTTTCTCCGTATCAGGTATAATCCTTTCCTACTCCTTTTGGTTCAGATCTGGTTCAGTTTATGGTTCAAGATTGATCTTTGAAAATAGGTTTTTCTAAATAGGGAATGCGATTCCCAATTGAAAGAGAAAATTTTTTTTTTGAAATTCGCCATTTTATTCCGCAAGATTTGGACGTCCATACGATGGATCTCTCATCCCTTCAAAAAACCTTGGTACATCACTTGGATGGTTGAGGTTAATCCACTGCTCTAGAAGATCATTTTGCTGGCCTGGAGTTTTGGTTTGATTTGGTACATTATTTGATTAGCCTAGATTAGTTGATGTCTTGGTACACCACTTGGATGGTTGAGATTGATTCAGTAATATTTTTTTGATAAATTAACAATTTGTGTTCATAACCAGAAATCTTGTCCCTAACTGTTGACGAAAACACAGCAGAAATACAACAAGAACAGTTATGAGCTGCGACAATACACACGGAAAACTATAACTCTTCAAATTACAACTCAGAGCCCATCCCTGGTAAACCAACTTGAATGAGCAGTTCATTCTGATCCCCAAGGCTTTGGTTTTGGCTTTGTCTGAATGACTGCTTTGATTTCAACTTTCAATAACCTAGATCTTTGGGCTCATTTGTTACATCACATTGAATAGGCAAAAAGATGAATTGAAATCTTGGTCATTGTCTGATTGGATAAAGATTTACTGATCTTAGAAAGCCATTTTTTTTATGGTCCAAATCTTAGGTTATTCAGTACATAGCTGTACATGACCTTGATTTTTCAGATATGTTGGTGCATTACTTGAATGACTAGGATTTCTGAAATCTCAGTACATTGCTTGGATGGCAAAAATTAATTTGTTCATCTTAGGGGATTGCTTTGATTAGCTAGATTAATGGGTTGACCTGTTATGTTGATCAAGGTTAGTTGAAGTCTTGGTGCATCCACCTGGATGGTTGAGACAACACTGATCTTAAGAGACCACCTTAATGGTCCAGATCTTGGTTTGATTGGTATATCACTTAATGGCCAGATTCTTTAGTAGCTTTGATACATTTCTTAGATTGATATTATGAAACTAGCTTGATTGATCGTATCATTAGTTTCATCCACTACCACTTCCATGGCCTAAATGTGTTAAAAATCCTCCATGGGAATTGGAGGATATTAAGCCAATCATGGTACACCATGTCAGCCTGACATATTGGAATTGGTTTTTCAAGATCAGGCGACGGATTTCTAGGCATCACTTCAATTGATACCGAGTAGTGCAAAGTTATCCTACAGTGGCATTTTTAAGGTTTTAGCTGAGACCTGGGATCAATTACCACTGCCACCAGGGTTTGGGGGTTCGGGTTCTGTCGTCACAAATTGTTCTCACATCTTTATATTTGTATGTTTATTTTAATGGGAAGATATTCCCAATATACGGCTGCAAGGAACTGTGCGGATGGTTTGAGCACGGTTTTGTGAGGAACAAATCCGATTTTGTTAATGGGTAAGGGATGGACTCCCCCATTGTGTAATCCCATGAACTAGAAAAAAGTTTTTAGAAATGTCTAACAACGCATATGATGCGCAAGTGAGCATATATAATTTTTTATTCCTTTGATGAATGAATCGAATGGGAAGCTATCATGTAGCCCCCCCTCTCCTTGTGATTTTGGGTTGTGAGTAGGGCCGTAGGGGTGATCATGGGCCAGTCCGGGCTGGGCTATTCGGATCCGATTCGATTATATGAACAGATACTTGATTCGACTTGACTGTAAAGATTTGTATTGGATATTTGATTATCCAATTCGAATTTGATTTGGTTCGGTTGTTAAATCGAATTTGCAAAAACTAAAGGATTCTACTACGCTCTATTTACCGGTATTATCAGACTCTTTAATTTCCAGAAACTAAAAGGGGGAAAAAGTTGAAGAAATGATTTTGAAGCAACAAGAAAAGATCCTTCTATGTAGGTTTTAGTTTATCACCTTTCCACAAAAGCTGAATGTATAAACGTCTCTCGTACCATTAACCATCGCAAGTAAAAATATAAAATTAGTATAACCATAAACGGAACCTTCTTTTACTAATCGAACAAGTTACATGAGATAAGCTTACTCATTAATGGTGGTATAAAAATTACTGGTGTAACATTTACGTAGCACTAGGAAGATTAAGAACTTTATTTGTAAGAAAAACTATATTAGGTAATAACCTTATCTTTTAAGTTAACCATTTAAATGACACCTTTGATATGGCAGATTGCCATTTGGTCATTGATCCAAATTGTTGAATAGGTGGCTAAACTCTGAGGAGTTATAAGCCACAACCTTCACATCAACTAAGGCTCATACAATTCAAAGAATAATGTTAAAGAACAAGAAAAATGGTTATGGATTAACCTAAATGGTTAAGAAGTATCTGGAGGTTTATTTTTCTGTTTATTACAAGTCTTTTTTTTTTTTAATTTGGTTCACTTGCTGTTTCAAAAACAACTGCTAAAGAACATGAACAATCTACTAAATGTGCATCTCCTAATAGCACCACACACAAATAAACTTCTAATAGCATCAAATCGGATCTATCCATTGACTTTATTGGATAATCATATTGGACAAAAACAATTTAATGTTGTTAGCCTACACAGATACAAATATGGTACCCCTGCTTTGATAATGTCCACCATATATATATATTGAGCAATAACACTGGAAATATTAAAAGTACTTAATGGGACAATTTCAAAAGATAATTCAAGAAAGCTGCATAAAGTGATATCCGTAGTAATAGTTATTTAGATACCTAAACTAAAATAAAAAATTCAGATATCTAAACTAGTATTCCTTTCAAGTAAGGCATCATCAATATTCAATAAAAGTAATTAAGCTAAAAACCACACCCATACATGATTTATGTTTATTCTATGGCAAAGTAGCAAAACTATCACTCTATCACACAACCATCAAAGAAAAAAAAATTGATCATCCAGCACTATTAATTTCATTATTATCTCAAACTGAAGCAATGCCATTACAAACCATCATGAAAATAGTTATTTAAAAAATACCAAAACGACCACAACAATAACTAAACTAAGATAATACTAAATAAAGATCCCATGATTTTTTGTCTCAATTATTGCCATAAAAAATTGCCCATCCGATGATCCATCATCTCAGTAAAATTCCTACAACAAAAATTTCTTGGTTGAGATCTCAAATACAAGTAGCCATAAATAAAATAAATTGAAGAGAACAAACCTAAACTTACCAAATCAATTTGTTTGAATTACAGAGTCAAAATAACAACCACCTTCTTCATGTATTTCCATTTCTCCATCAACTTCTAAAACATAAAATAAACAGAATTATTTTAACAATAAGAAGGCAGAAAGAATAATAGAAAATTTCCATCAACTTCTAAAACATAAAATATACAAAAATATTTTAATAATAAGAAGGTAGAAAGAATAATACAAAATTTTAAATATGTTAAATTCACGTACTCGTTTTGATAGTAGGTTCCAGCCAACTTTGTCCACACATCAAAGCCTCTATAACTTCTGGACGTAAGCATGTATGATATTTATGAATGGCCCTTGCAGATGTATTGAAAGCTTCCTCTGATGCTATCGTAGTTGCTGGAATGGCAAGAATATCACGAGCCATGGCTGAAAGTTTAGGACGCTTAAGATGGTAAAGCTTCCAATATCCCAATATGTCAAAATCTTTGGATCGAGGGAACAAGTTTTCCTCCAAATATACATCAAGCTCTGATTTTGTAAGAGCTATATTGGAAGCAATGCCCGAATCAATGCACCACTTATCAAAATCAGCCAATTCTTCATTATCACTAGCCTCAACCTCAAATCCAAACCTTAACGATAAGTTACTACTGCCACTTTCCGCAAGGGAAGCTTGTGATTGTGATGGCAATAGATCCCTTAACTCACCTCCATATTCCATGTAGAGATCAAAAATAGCTGTCCGAACTCTTGAAATATATTTATCTGCTTCAAAGCCATAAATCTTGTTATAATAGTATTCTACTATTTGCATCTTGAATCTAGGATCAAGCACAATGGCAATTGCTAACACCAAATTGTTATCTTCCCAATATTTGTCAAATTTTTCTTTTATTTTAAATGCCATTGATCGTAAAAATGGATGCCCACTTCTCCCCCATTCTTGCAATTTGAGATTAATTGTACAAACATTGGTAAAAAATATATTGGCAGTTGGATACCTTCTCCCAGAAAATTTATTGGTGGTGTTGTAGAAGATTTTCAAGCAATCACGAATAATTGACCCTATTTTCCATTCCTCCTCAGATGGATAGATGTGGTAATCATGATCAATATCTTTTAAACGACAGAATGCTTCTTTCATTTCCAATGCACAGTCCAACATCTCATATGTAGAATTCCATCTATAGGCTGTATCAATAAACATCTCCTTCTTAGGAAAGATTTTCACTTGATTCTTAGCATTCTCAAACTTCTGCTCTCGAAGTTGAGAGGATTTCACATATTTAACACTTTCTCTTATCTTATACAACAACTCTGAAACCTCTCCCAGCACATCTTGCACAATGAAATTAAAAATATGTGAACTACAATGAATATGAAATAAATCACCACAAAGAGGAAGTAATGACCGATCATTAAGATGCTTCTTTAGTTCTTTAACCATAACATCATTATTAGAAATGGTATCCGTTGTTATGGAGAACAATTTCTTATCAATATTCCAATCCAATGCCACATCCATAATAACTCTACAAAGAGTTTTTCCATCATAAGGAGATCTCATAGCGGTAAAAGCAATAATCTTATGATTCAATTGCCAAGCATTATTAATATAATGAACAGTCACTGCACAATAAGATAACCTTTGGGTTGAGGTCCACATGTCAATAGTGATGCTAAACCGACAAGAAAGTGTATCAAGATACTTGTACAACTTTTCTTTTTCTTGTTTGTACAACTTCAAACAATCATTTCTAATTGTATTCCTTGAAATGATTTTGAAAGATGGGTTGAGATTGGTAGTGAAGATTCCAAAGAAAGGATTCTCAACCACATCAAATGGACAACCATAGGAAATGATAAATCGAACAAGATCCAATCTACTCCTTTGAGCATCAAACTTAAAAGGTTCAAGGACACACTTTTCACTAGCTGTCTTTGTAACTGCTAACAATTGTTGCAGAGGATCCTTAAATCTTCTTGATTTACATCGTGGAAGATGATTTTTCAAATGGGTTGTCCCACTAGCACTTCCCCCAACAAATGCATGTCGGCAATGTTTACAAATAGCCTCTTGTACACCAGATGGTTTTGTAATTAAATCAAAATCCTCCCAAACTTTCGAAGTTCTCTTCCTCTTGTGAATGATTTTAGAAGACGAGACATCACCAATGTTAGTATTTTCATTAGCCTCAACAACAGCAACACTAGTGGAGGTTGGCTCACTCATGTTTAATCAATTCTACATTAAACAATAATACAAATAAAGAATTAAAACTAGATCAAATGTAAAACAAAAAATCACTAACAAGTCTGTATCACTAATTATTTGATTCATGAACAAATCCATATTATCAATTCTGTTACTTCAACATTCCTATATTTCTAATTGGAGTTGGCACACTCATACTTAAATAATATTATTTTTTTTTTGAAAATGATAAGATAAATATCTTATAAATAGAAAGAAAAAAACACAGCACAATAGGACACTACAACCAAGGGGAGCAAAGACTCAAAGTAGGCAACACAAAAAAGAGAAAATTTACAATAATACCGATTGGGTTTTGAAAGAACTACTCGACGATTGGCAAGGGGTAGCCGCTTGAAGCTTCCTTTCTTATCCAATGCTGGTGAGTTGATGATACAAGTAAGGAAATCTGGAGAGGGTGGCGAGGTGAGTTTGGATTCAACGATCGGCCATGGTGAGGCAGCGACCGACCACTTGAGGACTGAGTCTCAAGGGATTTAGGGTTTGGGGGAAAAAGGAGAAGGAAAAGTCGAAGAGAAGACTAAAGAGAAAATGTGGAATGTCTTGTTTGTGAATGTCGATTACCAGTGCCGATTAGATAACAGATGGACATTTTTAAGTCCAACTTCAAAATAAAATGAAGTTATTTTTACGTATTAAAATGATGATCGAATAGAATTCTAGTGGATCGAATCGTTTAATATCCGAATTTGATTTTAATTATGAAATAATCCTGGTTTTTTATTCAATCCAAATCGTTTAATTCCAAACGGACATCTGGATCCGGCTTAATGGGATCAGAATCGGATTCGTTTGCATCCTGTAAGCTACAGGCCACTACCGAGTAAGAAAGGCATCATGACACATACGAGTCCAACTCCAACCCTTCTTGGCTAATGTCCACTCCACGTTAGCCAAGCACTTGAACCCATTGATGTGTCAGAGTTTGGTGGGTTCCAATTCCAATTGGACAGTAGTTGATCTCAGACTTCTAGTGGAACTTAAATCATCAACTTGGCTTTTAGATCATGGGTGGTATGCTGATGGCGATGGGGATTCCATGGTGGACACTTAAGAATCTTTAAAGCGAGGTTATCAACGAGTCAAGACGAGCCCGAGACTCTGTCAAAGTTGGTTTTTTCAAGGTGCTGCGTCCTGCGTGTAGAAAAGGCCTAACTGCTCAAATGGGTATCCCATCTAAACTAATGAATTGAGCAGGCAGAGCAGAATAAAGGTAAATCGTACAGAGAGAAATATTACTCAATTCTGCTGAATTCCATTATATTATATATATTGTTGGTTTTTAGTTTTGCTTTTTGGAACCGTGCCAAAACCGAACTCGGCTGCGGAAGCTTTTATGACACTAAAAGCGCTGGGACTATATAGCCTCCTCTGACCATCACTGAAAGGAAATTATTCTTGAAGATAAAAAGGAAGAAACTCCTTCTACTTTATTACGACCTACCTCTTCCACTGATTTCGAAATGATCCCTTCCATTACGTTTCCCTTTTGATAAAGGTGATTCATTTCCTGTGGTGCGGTAAACTAGCGGTAGGGAAGGATAGATTCCCAAACCCATAGCCTCACTGAATCGGCTGACCAAAGGTAAGGATGCCTTTAATTCTCCCTAACATTGACAGACAAATACAAGGTCGGCTTTGGCTATTAAGAGGATTCTAATCTGATGATAGACACAACAATTAGCACCAGGGAACCTTAATCAATTAAAATCCTAAATGAGAATCTTGTCTTAATCATGGCTGCTTTTTAACCTAATGCTCTTTGAGACACATTGAAAGGTTGGCCATGGCAATCCAAGAAAGGGAGGGCGATTTTTTTTTTTTTCAATCCCAAAGGAGAGAGGCGGCCAGACAAATGATAAAAAGATGAAGATCAGAATAAAAAACAGGAAATTTCTTTGCATATATAGTAAACAAAAGAAACTTGCCCATATGTGTTCATAAATTTACGTGGCATAGAGAGGAAAGATCGGTTTGAATGTAGAACTGTGTTAAAGAACAAAGAATGGTATGATTGACATAATTTCAATCACAGAGACAGAGGTAATTCAGATAGAGTACCCAGTTGTTAAAATGAAACATCCTCTGAGGGTGACCATATACTGTCTGGATGAGGGAATTATGGGAACTTGTAGAAGTCAATGATGGCTCCATTTTGTTTGGGATTAACAACATCTGGACTCTGGAGTACAATTTCCTTTTACAGATAATTATTTTTTCTCTATACTTGGTTCAGCAGGAAGTATGTAAAAAATAAAGAAGAAAGTTACTTCCATATTCCTAAGCAGTAAGGCATTTACCTTCATGTGGAAAAATATTTTCTAGGAAAGAAGTTTCATCATTACAAAATTGAGAAATCATACAAACAAATATTTCCCAGGAGAAAGCAATTCCCAGAACAAAATCTCCCTCGAAAATATTTTCCAGCAGACCAAAAATGAAAACCCATTAACACAATGAGGATGTTCGGTAAGGGAATATGAACAACTGACCTGAAAAGATATGATCACCAGATGCTCTGATACGTGCCCCTAAGATAACATTATCCAACGCTGGTCAGGCCATCGACTACTTGAAGGTTAGTTTGCATATCCGAATGAGAAGATGAAAATGGTATAGTTGAATTGTCTGAGCTTTATCAAGTCGACCAGAAGAATATATGCTTTCTGCCTCAAATTAAGATTTTGGCATAATTTTCTGCAGTGGGCTTTGCTCGGAAGTGCAAATACAGACATTGAGCAAAGCCAGATTCTCAAAGGTTAAGATGCAAATGACACTCATGGGTAATCAGCAAGGAAAAGTCAAGATCAAGAGATTCCATAATTATAATAAAAGAAAGAGGAAAAAAGTTCTGAACAAAATGATTCTTTCTCATTTTCCAAGATTCATATATTCGCCTAAAATATTTCTGAAGACAACCCATGTATTCAAATTAATGAAGAATTTGAAACCAGAAATAATCTAAACGGCTTACCAGAGGCAAGCCCGAATCCATACATCACGAAAAAAATTTAATGGCACCAACCATCCCATGTAATTAAAGGCAATTTCTTAATTCAACCAGCAAGCATACAGAATGAGTTCCATTAACAAGCGTGAAAGAAATTGCAACTTGAAGCCACAGGAATGGAAGAAGGCATCATTGTACAAGGACAAGACGACCCAGTCCTTCTTCCCAAACTTCTTCATTGGTACCATCAGGGTTGTTGGCATTCGCACCTTTTGGGACTGTCACAATTAGTTCACCGTCGACGTAAACTGCGCGGGCAAGCTCCGGCATGGTGGTAGGTGGAAGCCTAAACCTCCAAAGGTCGAGCTCAAGTTCGTCCAGAGACAATTCAAGAACGTTTCTGCCACTGATCACAATCTTGGTGACTCCAGGGTATATCTCAATAGCGTGTGCTCTGACATCATCGCCAACATCGTCTGTTGTTACGATGAAGCGGAAACAGTCGGAATTCTCTTCAACCAAGACATCGGCGTCCGAGTGGAACGGGAGCTCTAAGACCCTACTGAATATGTGAGGAAGTCGACGGAGCTTCTTCTGCCTACTCATCACCCTGTTTGCTTGAGAGAGGCTCGAATTGATATCATACCGAAACGTGATGTTTCGCTTCTTGGGAGCTGGATGGACCTTCATGGTTTCGAAACTCTCGACGGATTAAACGGACAAACACAGAGAAAGATCGTATTATTGCGGGCAGGCTATAGACGCATCAACAGAAGGGGGGAAATTCGTGGGTGATGAATCACCGTAAATTCCTCTCAAAAAAAAAAAAAAAGACGATCGGGTTTTAGAAAAATCGCCAAGAAACCTCTTACGAGATTAAATTCTGAAAGGGGGGAAATCACAAAAACTGAAAAAGAAATAAAATAACTAAAAGATGAACTTCTTCTTCTTGAACTACAACTGAATTCCCGAAAATCAACAACAAAATCCCCTTTTATAAGAACCAGAAAGAAACCCTAATACAACTGGACGAAATCTCTCTCGAAAAGCTTCTTTGTTAGGACTTGGGATAGGAACCCCAGCCCTATCCCCGAAAAGAAGTAAAGAAGAAAAAATGATTCTTCTCTGTTTGAAACTTTGGGGAAAAAAATAAAAGAATTTTTAAGAGAAAGGGTTGCAGAGTTGAAAGAACAGGAGAGAGTCCCTGCGGTTTAAAATAGAAGTTGGATTTCTAACTACCCCTTACTTTCATGATATTATCAGAACTGCCCTTCCGGCTTATACGGTTATTTCCTTGTAAAGTGAATATTAAAAATTTTAAATTCAGAAGATACGGATTGTTTATTGAGTTATATTCAAGACTGTTTCCTTTTGAGATATGACCATATCACAACCCTTCTTTTTTTTTTATATAAAAAAACCCTTATTTTTTATTTTATCTAAAATGTTATCGGTGTAAAAATATATAACGTTTTACACTGAATTGTGAAAGTGACTGTTGTTTTTTAAAAAATGTGATGGGTGGATGAGTGTATTTTTAAAAGAAAATTAATTATTTTCTTGAAAAGTTCTATGATAATGAAAAGTACCAGAACAGTTTTGACCAATGTAAGTTTTTCTGATATCATGTCTTTAATGAAATCCTATTTTTTAATTAAATTATAAATCAAAATTGAATGGTTGAGAAATACATAGGGTGCCATAAAACTTGAATATCTTGCCACAACTAGATGGGGTCATCTAGATGAATCCTGTTTTGCCTTTCTGTTATATATAGTATCACGTCCATTGATTAATTATGAACACTTAATCATTTCTTATCACTATTACTCGATTCCTTTTTCAATTTGTCTCTAATTCTTCTAGTCGCTTGAATTTGTAACATATCACTTCTTTCTATTGCTTGTAAATCTAAATCAAGAAATCATTTTTTTATGTCGTTTATTAAATCATTTGTGCTCATTTTTTAGTAAATTATTCATTTCACTTAAATCAGCTGTTTTGGGGACTGGATCTAATTGTCTAATTCGAATGAGCAGCCTGCTTAAAAATACAAAATTAAAATAAAGATAATCAAAACCATTGTCTGAATGGATGATTCAACCACCCAGGTCAACAAGTCACTGACCAAATCAATGATTTTTTGCCCCAGAGTGATTTTAGGGTGAAATGGAACTAGTTGCCTAAACAGTTCCCAGATCAACCAATCCAACTGTCCAATCCAGTCTGATTTTCAGAACCATGCATAATGCATTTTACCATTTACATACACTTGAATGGAGTTTGTCTATCCAATCAGCTCAAAAATGCTTTCGTATTAAAATTTGCCAAACAACTTTGTGTAGCTTCTTTGAGGTTTTAGTAAATGTGTTATATCAAGATTAAGCCATATTGTGTTTCACAAAGTTTAGGCTGTGTGTTTGTTTGCACTGAAAATCTGAACTGGATACAAATTTTGCTTCGGATTCAAATTTGTATTCATATGTTTGTAATTATAAAAACAAATAACTCTCTTTCCACCTCCTTTTCTTTCATATAAGGTAGAGAAACAACGATAATATTCCTTAATAAATTTGCACCTTTTACAACAGGGCACATGAATTAATTACTTGTGTGAAACATTATCATTGGTTCCATAACTCATTGAAATTTATACCCCAAACAAATTGAGCTTTAAATTAGAGTATTTTTTAACTTTTTATCTATATAATATATGTAAAAAAGTATTTAAAATGAAAAATTAAACTTTTAAAAAATTATAAATATATCGTATAAACACCTTCAATACCGTTTTCAGCAATCCGGAGGAAAAAAAAATGAAATGTGAACACATCCTTCAAATGCCTCAATTTTCAGATTGAGTACTTAGCTTTTATTTATATATATTAACCATGACTTTCATCAGTTCATGCATAACACATCAAAAACAGGTCCACACGCATCAACATTGCACCACGTTCTTTCTGAAAGCTCAAAGCTAGGATCGACTGTGGCCCAATTGCCGTGCCAAAAATTTGATACAACTGAAGATTTCGAGGAAGCTACCAAGGCCTTAAGCACGTGGATGTAACGACGACGCCATAGATCATAGATGTGACTAACCCAATTGGGCCTTAGGTGGATCGTACTAGGGGTGCGAATGGATAAGATACGATCCAATCCTATTTTGTTGGATTTGAATATTTCCATTTTAGATTTTTAGATCCGATCAGAAATTAGATTGAATTCGGATCATCCCTTATTTTCGATCTTTTGATCCCTTAAATTGAATTCGGATCATCCATTTTAGATTTCGATCCCTTAAATTGATGAATCTATTTTTGCTCATGTATCAATCTTTTGGTTAAGTATCTCGTCATTTGGTATACTTCCAAGTGGCCGATGACTCAGGCCGAAGTGAATTTTGGCTGTCGAGTTGGGTAGGCTAGGTGGCGAGTTGATTATAATGCCGAGCTGCCTATGAGGTACCGAGCTGATTAGATGGCGAGGTGCCTGTGAGGTGTCGGGCTGACCAGGTGTCGAACTGCCTAGTGGCGAGCTGAATTAATGAGTTTCGTTGCTCTTTAGAGACTTGCAAGGAACCAAATGTCAGAGGACGTAGGGTGGCTAACCCGGCGATGTTGCTCCGATGCTTAAGTCATTACTCTCATAGTAGACTACGAGCTAAAAATCACAAAACCTGAGAGCTAGAACTTGCTGACTTGCTTGCTTGCTCGCTTGCTATGCCATTGGGGTTGGTGCCTTTATATAGGCCTTGCTCACGTACCGCCTCCGAGATCTCCGGGAGGTCGTGTCTAACTGGTCCGAGATCCTCGGAGGTAACCGCCATGCACGTTGACCATCTTCCGGAACGTGGGCCAACCTCCAAGGATCGTGGGGTATGCATCCCGAATTTGTTGGCGATCGCAGGTCGCCAGGTCGGCGCATGTGCCAGGTCACCGGGTCGTGCCTGGGCCAGGCCGTCTGGACGGTGCTTGTGCCAGGTTGTCAGGTCGTGCCTGTGCTAGGCTGCCAGCTCGCGCCAGGGCCAGATCACTAGGCTGCACCTGGGCCGCCAGGTGGGACACCATCAACTTGGCTAAAGCAAGTTGTTGCCAAAGTGGTTTCAGGTGTCACATATTTGTTCCGAGGTGCCATGTGTCACAATATCATTGGAGGGCCAAATCCGCTCTCATCATTTGCCCCCCCACTCCCGAGCCGAAAGTAACTCGGCGAAGGGAGTAGATTTCTCCTTTTGGCCCGGAATGAATAATTTGATGAGCTCGTAAGCATCATTTCAATTCCTTAGGCTCTGGGAGCGACTCGCAGTCCTCTCCTTGATTTTGCCCATGCCGAAGAGGCGACTGGGACTTATATGGTGAGGAGGTCTTCACTAGTTCGGTATTTTGGCCCTTAGGCTCTGGGAGCGACTCGTAGTCCACTCTACTTGATCTTGCCCATGCCGAAGAGGCGACTGGGTCTTATTTGGTATTTTATCCCTTAGGCTATGGGAGCGACTCATAGTCCACTCTCCTTGATCTTTGATTTTGCCCATGCCGAAGAGGCGACTGGGATTTGTATGCCCATGCCAAGGAGGCAACTGGGACTTGTATGTCCATGCCTAGGAAGTGACTGGGACTTGTATGCCCATGCCTAGGAGGCGACTGGGACTTATCGTAGTGCTGAGGTCTTTTATCAGTTCGCTAGTTCGCACCTAGGCCAGGCCGCCAGGTCGGTGCCTGGGCCAAGCCGCCAGGGCCAGGCCGCGCCAAGTCGGCTCCTTAGAGCTATGGCTGCGCTGCATCAGCCTCGTTAGTGACGTCGGTTACCCACTCCTACAAGAAGCTACTAGAAGCTCGACCGGCAGGGGCGTCCATGCAGTATGTTGGCCGCCTACTCCCGTGGAAGCCACGAAGAGCTCATCTTTGTAGAGGGTACCTCGCGAAGAGAACTGATGAGGCTCTATCCGAGTTGAAATAAAGTTGGTAGAGTTGCTTAGTCTGTTAGCCATCAACTTCCTGCATAGTCATTGAATTCATAAAAAATGGAAACTAGAAAGTGAGAGCTTTTAGTAGAACTTAGCTTTCTGGAAGAAGAGGACTTAGCCTTTCAAAGGATGAGAACTTAGCTTTTTGTAGTGTTTCCCACAAACGGCGCCAATTGATGAATCGATTTTTGGTCATGTATCAATCTTTTGGCTAAGTACCTCGTCATTTGGTTTGCTTCCAAGTGGCTGATGACTCGGGCCGAAGTGAACTTTGGCTGCCGAGCTGAGTCGAGCTGGGCAGGCTAGGTGGCGAGCTGACTATAGTGTCGAGCTGCCTATGAGGTGCCGAACTGACCAGGTGGCGAGCTGCCTGTGAGGTGCCGAGTTGCCTGGTGGCGAGCTGAATTGATAAGCTTTGTTGCTCTTTAGAGACCTGCAAGGAACCAAATGTCAGAGGACCCAGGGTGGCTAACCCAGCGAGGTCGCTCCGATGCTTAAGTCAGCACTCTCATAGTAGACTGCGAGCTAAAAATCACAAAGTCTGAGAGCTAGAACTTGCTTACTTGCTTGCTTCCTATGCCATTGGGGTTGGTGCCTTTATATAGACCTTGCTCACGTACCGCCTCCGAGATCTTTGGGAGGTCATGTCTAACTGGTCGGAGATCATCGAAGGTAACCGCCATGCACGTTGACCATCTTCCGGAACGTGGGCCAACCTCCAAGGATCGTGGGGTATGCATGTCGAATTTGTCGGCGAGCACGTCTTGTAGGTTGCTAGGTCGGCGCATGTGCTAGGTCGCCGAGTCGTGCCTGTGCAAAGCTACCAGGTCGCG